ACATCTATCCTCGTTTGCGAATCAAAATGCAGATGCGTTGTCACCTGTGAGGACTAAGATGGAATGCCTCTTATCCAGTAAAAAGGGTCTCCGGTTCTCTACACTCACCATACGAAACACAGCAGTGTTAAGCTGCTATTTTATGCTGGTATTATATGGCTCTACCACGTACGAAGTACGAAGTGACCATATCTGCAACAAACACTACAAAGGAAACAATTCTCAACATTTATTTCATTTTTGGGATTACTTATATGTCCGCAATAAGCCGCCATTTTAGTTTTTATGTGACTTCATGCAGCCTAAAACCCGCGTAAATATACAATGTTTCTAAAGATATCTAATTTGTCAAAATACGATGAGTAGTTTAGAAGATCTGAAGGAACAGATGAAATACATAGCTTTCTAAAATCATAACTATCCTTTTTAGGCTTCGCCGTAGTAAGGTAAAAATAATCACTTACATTATCTGCATCAAATCGGAAACGAATATGCTGTAATCGTTATCTATAATTGAAATTGAGGCAGGCAATGCATGGTGCAGCACTATTTGTCATCTACACAAGCACATTACCTACACACTTGTATTTTGATTTTGGTCTCGATAAAAACCTTTATATAAAACCGAAGAACTGAACTTGACCCTATTTTTCTTTTCATATTTATGTTTTTGGTGGGATACCTGTGGTAAAGGTTTGCCTTAATCTTTTATTGCTAAAACAACTTTGTTAATAATTTAAAATTAAACATTTTATTTCCATAGCATAATGTCTTATGGGATTTTGCTATGGGGAAATGCGACTGATTCAGAAACTATTTTTATTTTATAGAAGAGGGCCATTAGAACTATTTACAACCTAAAACAGAGAGTCTCTTAGAGATAAATTTAAAGAAATAAATATATTAAGTTTGGCCTCTCAGTATATTTACGAAAATTTAATGTATGTTCACAAAAACAAAGGTAGTTTTAGTAAAAAAAGTGATGTACATTCTGTAAACACTAGGAACAAACAAACATCGACTCCGGAGTTTTGGCGGGAAATTGACCGGCGGCGGTTTGCTGCTCCTGTATTATTGTTTAAATAATGGTTTGAAGTGGACTTTGATATGTAAAAGTGTTGCGATTTTGTGTATTAAGTGTCTACGCATGTGAACTATTAGTGGAAACAGTGAAACAAGTGCTCTGATGGTGATGGATTCTCAAGATAAGCTGTTTGTTTGCATAGGCACCTTTAGATACCATCGCCAACTATCAGCTGTCTGCTGGATCAAGTTGCCGCCAAAATCTCCCAAGAACTGCACAATGTGACGCATCAACATATTGTGAAGCAGTATACTATGAAGGAGTGGGGAAATTACAATAAACCGAATAAAAATATTTAAGACTTGGCCTAAAGGTCTAGATACCAGGCCATAAACTCCAAAAAAAAAAACATCGACTCCACACGAGTCAGTAATTCATTATTGGGGCAATGTATACGATATTACAAGGTCCCGGAAAGTGTACAGGCTCTATCTATTACCAAGTTTAAATGTTTTGTTAAGTTGAAACTGTATAAAAAGGGTTATCATAGTATAAAAGAATATATGGTTGATAATAACCCCTGGGGATGAGGTGGCTTAGAATGACGTGGTCGCTTCCAAGCTGTTTCTAAAATAAATTTTGTACCAACCATTAATGTAAAATATGCTTTGTAAAAAAGTCCCGCTGGGTTTCTTGCTGGTTCTTCCCAGGACAGAGGTTTTTTCTTCGAACCAGTGGTAAAGTAAAAAAAAGATTTTCAATAAGAATTACACATGTGATCTATATTGAATAAAAAATTATTTTATTCTCTTCTACTATTCTACTGATGTCATCCATGACCAAGATGCCACTAATGTGACTGCTGTCAAAGAGAATATAATCACTACGTTTAAGAGGCGGGACTGGGCGGGACTTACATACTAAAAATAATTGCATGAAATTACGCCAAGTTACTCTACCAACATCAAGATATGACATTTAGTTTTGAGAAACAGTGCTGACAACATTGATGAATTACAATAGTGCTGTAAATGTCTATCCGCGAATAATTTTATCGATATAACCTTTATCGATATATTGTTTATCGATATTTTTACATAAGAAAAGTTAGATCTCTATACTGAATTATTTATGAGAAATAAAATTTATAAAGTGTGGATTGAGTAAAAATGCCGATGAGGATAAGAAATCAATGTATTTTACACACAGCAATTTGTATTTATATCTCTACAATTAGGTACAAAAGTATGTATAAAGAAAATATAAAATTAAAAAACGCACTTTTATACTAATAATTAATTAAGTAAAAAATAAATGACGAATCCGTAGCGCAGTGGTTAAGCGTTTGGCTGCGGCATTGCAGGACTGAGGCTTCCTTCCCGCACTGAACAATTGTTGCTATGCTGTAAAATAAATAAATAATATTGGGTTTTTAATACTGATTGGATTAAATTGCTTTTATGTGTAACAAATACTATGTACAAATCGCTAGGCTTCTTCACAGAGGCACCTATGTACTTACTATTCGCAGAGATCGTTTACTAATTGTCGCTTTCAAAATAAGTGCTCATTATAGCTAATGTTTATTGACGAATAAAATAATGACTTTAGAGGGATATTATCTTTTGCTACATGTAAATGAAACCTAATTAACATACACATAAATTGTAGAAGTTTAAAGTAAGTCCACTGAAGAAATAACAGTTCGTTTTAGTTGGGTTCATATGCAATGTTTGTCACAAATATGTCTTAACATGTGAATCTTTTCAATTGGTGCATGTGCCAGCTATTTCATCCATTGCTTGCATCTGAAAAAAGAATATAAATAAAATCACATTATTATTATTGAACAAATAGAATGTTAGCAGTCAGAATTGACTTGTAGTTTCTAAGTATAGTTCGTTTCGGATTGCCAAACCATTGAACTATCAGATTTAGGAAATAGTGTGTTTGTATTTGTGCACACAATCGTACACTATAAAAACCTGTCCTATATAGATGGCTAGTCCAAAAATATACTCGAGTTGAATATCATATTACTATTAAAGTTGAAATCACCACATACCTTTCATCATCTAAGGGAAATATTGTTACGAATAGCCTTTTCTTGTTATCATTTTTTCCGCTTCTTGCACCATTTAATTGGAAAGTTTTATAATGCATATTTAATTTCTTAACAATTATGTAAATGAACAACGTCTCCTATAGCAAAATTAAAAGCAATCTTAATTAATAAAATATAATTGTTTGATTTGACATTTGAACCTATTTCATTTGACAATGTCGTTAATAGACATATCACGAAAAGCAGAAAGATGAGTAACCGTCATTAAAATTTGACCCCTGTAGTACATATAATTTTTACTATGGAAGTTGCACCAGCCTGACTGCTGTTTGAATTGATTCTTAGTTATTGGACATTAAATATTTTATTTCATGACATTTCGTTTCATTCATTACGTTATTCATGACTTAAAAAGTTTAGTTTTTTTTGGTGATGGGAGTCATATTAAATAGATTTATAGAATAAAAAAACATGCATATTCCCTATTATTATATCATAAAACATTACAAACTTAGTAACCTTCAGCAACATTATCGATACTTTGATGTCGAAACGGTAATGTTCAAACCGGTATTTACCATTGAGTTATATGTACTACTAGAGAAGCCATTCCGAACATTGACTATGTTCAACTGAACTGCAATCCGTACAAACTAAATATTGCGTAAATTTAAGATTTGTGAATTCCATAAAATAATTATTATTACATTTTATTTAGAAATACAATATGTTTGTTTAGAATAAATTAAGATATTTTATATAAAATTCTTATATTTATTTTATATTAATATCTTATTTTATATAAAATTAAAGTCTTCGCGCATGAGCGACTACTCCCGTGCATGCGCGAAGACATAGAGTAGGGCACAGTTTTTGTTTGGAATGGCTTCTCTAGTACGTAGTACATATAACTCAATGGTTTTTACCTTATATTTATTAGCGTCACCTACTATGGAATAGCTGAAATGTTTTCCAAATAAATATTCAGCGTAGTTTTACTAGGTTTAGCTAGAGAGCGTCACACACGCGCGAGCTTAGTTTTTGTATGCAAATGCTCCCCATGTCCGCTCTATTAGTACACCTATATATTTTAATCTGTTTGGATAAAACATAGTAATTGATATAATATGTAATGATGACAAAAGTAGACGCTTAATAATTCCACCGACAAATTTATCGCCATTCGCCTTTTTTTGGCCCTCATTCTACTACCAGTACATCATGCAAAACATGACGTTATATCGATATTTACACGCGATAATTATCGATACTGTTATAAATATCGATATTTATGTTATTTGAACAATCGTGTATAATTTGGTTTTGTACAAGAAAAAATCCCTTCAAAACTGGCTCCTTTAATCGGTTCAGTACGTGTGACACGCCAGGCGTGTCATCGATTACTTTTTATTTAATTTACTTTAATTTATCCAGAACAAAATATTCATTATTTTGCGAGTAGTTCATGCATGCACCTTCGTTTCTGGATATTTTGAAAATTTGAAATTTTTAGTGGTTGACAACCTTTTTTTAACGTGTACATGGTACTATTTTTACTTTGTGGGTTTTAAATCATGTTATAGAAAAATTGTCTAATAAGTAACAAATAATAGCACTCATTGCGATCGCTCACAAACTCAAGTTGTAAATAAATTTCTGGAAAACAAGTCTCCTGTTAAAAAAAACAATGCGTTTGTCTTATTATTTAATTTTGCTTCAAATGGTTGAACTGCCGTCTTATTACTATCATATGGCCGAATAAACTTACGAAGTACCATGTGCTCTTGTGATATGGTATAAGGTTTATTTTTGCTTGAAACAGTTCGAAACCGTTCATGCATAAAAAAAGTTCGCTAATAAATAGTCTTTTGTCAATCCGCCGCCGTATAGCGCCGGCGTTTTTTTCCTTTTGAAAACACTTGTTTTGCTATTCTTACTAATTAGACGTTTTCAGATCGACTTTACTTTTACATTTGTATAACATTAAATAATATTTAACATTTGTAAATATCAATGAAAGATATACCTTATTTTTTTTTAAGGTTATTCATTGTTTGAAATTTACAAATGTTAATATTTGGTGAAAATTTAATTTAATAAAAACCAAGGTTTCCAGGGTGATTTAGCTGTACCTACTTATATAAATGATTCTTTTATAACAACAAAAAATAGTACAAAAGGTTTGTAATCTCTTCATAAAAAAGTCACTCTCTCAATTTCAAAGAAAACGCGTAAAAAACACGTAGTTACCCACTAAAAACAAGTATCCTTCCATTTGTAACTTATGTTTGATGTCAAATAAACTTAATTGGGTCTAAACAAGTAAAGTCTGTAGCGCTTGACACGCCCGGCGTGTCATGAAATATTTGTTCGCCGCCACAGCTAAAAGTTGTCGAAAATTGGTGCCGCAACGAATCGGTAATGTGGGTACATAGGTACAAAGTCCGAGTTTTTTTGCACTTTCTCAATAGATATTTTAACCCACACCCATGTAAGACTAGAAGAGCCAGCCCTAGCCTCCTGGTCACTTTGAGCGAGAAAATTTGCTATTGGTCCTTTTTACTTAGTAAACTAGTGCTTGATTATAATGTAAACCACCCTATGGGAAGTAGAGATGTAGCCATAAATTGTAACCTGGGTTGGCTATGATTTCAGATTCTTTCTCGAGTCAAGGCGTCGTGAGGGCTCATGTCGTCCATTTGACATTTGCAATGTATGCTATTCAAGCCATCCTAATGTAACAACTTTTTTATATCTCCAAACAATCCAGGGAGTGACTCTAGCCAAGATACTTAGCCCTGTGGCAGGTGACCGCAGTTCACCAAGTAGGATGTGCGCCTATCTCATGCAAAGAAGGCTGTAACTTTGTTTTTTAAAGTATAAGTGAAACCAATTTTTCTTAAATAGGTGTATAATTATAACATCACATTGTTGTCTTATATGTACATTATACATTAGTGTTAAAATGTTTTATAAAAATATATCAACAACTTAAAGCTTTTGATCAGATCAAGTCTAGAATACAGTTATCATGTTGGATGTAAAGGTGGAACATCAGAATGTTCATGTTTATCCAAATAAAACATGACATACACTAAAGGTATCACAACACCAAGGATAAGCATACAGCATACCAAATGAAACCATTTTATTCCAAAATCGGCACCATGTGATGTCAACTCTTTGACAACTACTGCCTCTACAGATATCTTTTGTTTATTTGGCAATAACTGAGTGTCCTCTGAGACTGCTTCATTTTGTTCAGAATCTGTATAAGGAATAACAGATGGAGCTAATGTACTATTTAGCACAACTGCATTACAGTCTATCGAACAGTCATTTTCTTTAATATCTGTACTTTTATTCCCATCTTTTAATGGCTCATTGGCTAACTCATTGGAAGTAGTACTGTGTAGTAGATTATGTATACTAAAATGAGACAGTGCTTGCTTTGATGTTGAAGGCCCTGGCTGAGGTTCTTGAGAAGTAGGTATAAGTTCCGTTAGTACTGAATACGGTGTTACGGGCACTTTTAATATCCGTCTCGCAAATATTTCATTATCTTTGTGGATATGGTTGATCCTCTTTAACTCTGAAATCTGACAACATCTTACTGTAAAAATAAATCCTATCAGAAAGAAGGTTAATATTGTTAAAGATAAAGTAATCTCCATTGTACCCTAAAATCAGTACATGAAATAGATAAGCAGTTTTGAAAAGTGATGACTTTATTAGATAAAGAATATCATTACATTAACAAAAAGTATGTAATAAACTTACCGAACAATGAAATCGTAGAGCAATAGCTTGTAATGTATCCCCTTCCTGTACCTGTGCTTCGATAAAATGATCCTGTGGCTTTATTCTGTGTAGTTGTATTTCATTGTTGATAGAATCGTTTGACCTATTCATATTTATGTTATGACCAACCAAGTCATCTCCGTTCATCAGTTGGCGTGTTCTAGACCAAAATAATTGCGATTATAGAGGAATAATAAGTCAAAAAATTTCACGTTACTCTGCGATGTAAATAAGCTTACCTTTGTTTCATTTTTTAAATCTACAAAGGGGCAAATAAAAACTAACATGACCTAAAATAAAAAATATTTCTACCTTGTAAATTTTAAGTTATATTAGTTTTTTCTTTAGTTTTCCTATAAAAAATAACAATAATTTGCTACTGTAAATGTTAAAGAACAGAACAGCTGCTTACGCTTACTCAAATATTTTTGACAAAGAATGTTGACATTTATTGTTGACAATGTGGCACATGTTTTTCTTCTTTGGTTAAGGACTCGTTCGGTTGTATTTTTGCCAATGACAAGTAATAAGAAACAATTTTCTAAAATATTTTGTTTCAAAAACTTCTTTAGAACATTATGCCAATGTGTCAAATTTTGAAATGTTCTTGCGAGGTTTTGACCACAACTTAAGCTTGTTGATGATGACAATATCTTAGTTCTTCAGGTGCCTCATCACCATCATTACAGACCTTCACAAGTTCACTTCTGAACATAGGCCTTCCCAAAGGACTGCCACAAATCACAGTCTTGAGTCACCTGCATCCATCTACATTCTTCATATCTTACACATGGCAAAAAACCTTCCATCGCTTTCTTATAAGAACAATACAGACCATTTATATGGAGAATTATTTAACCTTTTAGGCAATGAATAAAACTTTTACTTCTAAAACATTCCAGTCGCAAGGCATTTAATGAGTGGGCGACAGTAGGAATTCATAAAAGCAGACAAAGGTTATATGACCTTTACCATGAAAGATCATATAATCTTTCCGATGCTTTTAAAGAATATGTCAAAAATTATTCTAAAATGTTTAAAAGAGTTTGCTCCACAGCCAAATCGTTACATATTGGCAACAAAATTAAAAGGGCTAAGAATAAAGTTAAAATAATATGGAGTATGATTAACAGCGAAACCGGTACAGACAAACCTCGTAACTCAAAGTCATCATCATTACAGCCCTTCTCAAGTCCACTGCTGAACATAGGCCTCCCCCAAAGAATGCCACAAAGCACGGTCCTGAGCCACCTGCATCCATCGACTTCCTGCATGTCTTACCAGGTCGTCACTCCATCTCGTGGGGGGACGCCCTACACTTCGCCTACCGGTACGAGGCTGCCACTCGAGTACCTTTCTTCCCCATCGGTTGTCGATTCTTCGAGCTATATGGCCGGCCCACTGCCACTTCAGCTTACTAATCCGTTGGGCTATGTCGGTTACTCTGGTTCTACTGCGGATATCCTCATTCCTAAGTTTATCACGCAGAGAAACTCCGAGCATAGCCCTCTCCATAGCTCGCTGAGCGACCTTGAGCTTCCTCATACGGCCAGCAGTGAAGGACCACGTCTCAGTTCCATAAGTCATCACTGGCAACACGCACTGGTTGTACAATTTCGTTTTCAGGTTTTGAGGTATGTCTGACGAGAAGATGTGTCGTAGCTTCCCGAACGCTGCCCAGCCGAGTTGAATCCGTCGATTGACCTCTCGGTCGAAGTTGGACTTACCTAGTCGGACTATTTGTCCCAGGTAAACATACTCGTCAACAACTTCGAGCTTAGTGCTCCCAACAACTACCGGCATAGGTGTGACATGGACATTGAACATGATCTTTGTTTTGTCCATGTTCATCTTAAGACCTATCCGTTGGGAAACACTATCGAGGTCATTGAGCATAGTGCTTAGGTCCTCCAGCGATTCTGCCATAAGGACTATATCGTTGGCAAATCGAAGGTGAGTGATGTACTCGCCATTGATGTTGATACCGTATCCTTTCCAGTCCAGAAGCTTGAAAACGTCTTCCAATGCAGCGGTGAAGAGTTTCGGGGATATGACGTCACCCTGTCTTACACCTCTCTGCAATTGGATAGGTTTCGTACTCTGGTTCTGTACTCGGATCGGAGCCATCGTAGCCCTACTGTACAAGCACTTCAACACTTCGATATACCGACAGTCAACTTGGCACCGCTGAAGGGACTGCAGCACCGCCCAAATTTCGACGGAATCAAAGGCTTTCTCATAGTCCACATACGCCAGACATAGTGGCAAATTGTACTCTTCGGACTTCTGTACAATTTGCCGAAGGGTATGTATGTGGTCTATGGTGCTAAAGCCCTTTCGGAAACCGGCTTGTTCGGGAGGCTGGAAGTCGTCAAGTCTGCGCGCGAGACGATTCGTAATGACTCTCGAAAACAGCACGTAGACGCGGCTCAGAAGGGAAATCGGTCTGTAGTTCTTCAAGAGAGCGTTGTCACATTTCTTGAAGAACAAGACCACCGCACTTCTGCTCCACGCCTCCGGTGTAATGCCACCATGGAGGACGGAATTAAAGAGCTTCTGAAGGACTTCAAGTACCGGTTTTCCACCCGCTTTCAGAAGCTCCGCTGTAATTCCATCCTCGCCTGGGGCCTTACCGTTTTTAAGGTGCTGGAGAGCCATTCTAATCTCGCTCAGACTGACGTCCGGGATATCTTCGGAATAGTGTCGGATGAGACTCGCTCTTGGATCGTTACTCACACTTGCGTGTGGCTCCAACGATGACGTGTACAGCTGCCCATAGAACCTCTCAATCTCACTCAAAATCTCAGGTGTCCCGGAAACGATGCTGCCACATTCTGTCTTCAGCTTTGACAGGTGGCTCTTTCTGGCAGACAGATCTCTGGCAAAGACTTTGGAGCCTTGGTTCCGCTCGATCGCTTCTTCAATACGAGCTGTATTGAAGTTGCGTAAGTCCCGCCGCATACATTTGGAGATCTGTCTGTTCAGATGCCTGTATGCTGTCAAGTCTGTTGAAGAATGTAGCTTCATCTCCCGTCTAACAGCCATGAGATTAAGAGTGTGATCGGAGAGTTTTTGTGTTCTTCTGCGGCGGGTCTTGCAGAACTTAGCTCCGACCGCATGGACAGTTTCCACGAGCTTGTCATTCATATCGTCCACTTCATTGCAGTCTTCTAGGCACTGAAAACGGTTTTGTAACTCGAGCTGAAAGGTTTCGGGACTTTGGAACAGAGCACGAGGGGGACGGAGCGTTGACTTCATTAGACGAGACCTCTCCAACTTAACGTTTAGGTTCAGTGTGCCTCTAACCATTCGGTGATCGCTACCAGTTTTCACCCTCGCGATCACGGAGACATCACTGAACAGTTGTCGTCTGGTCGTCATAATGAAGTCAATCTCATTTTTTGTCGAACCGTCGGGGCTCGACCAGGTCCACTTCCTGTGGGGCCGCTTCTGGAAGAAAGAGTTCATCATAAAGAGTCCCTCTTTCTCCATGAAGTCGGCCAGCTGCTGGCCCCTTGGGTTCCGTTGCCCTATTCCAAATTTCCCTACTTTCAGCTCACCGTTCTCTCTTGTGCCTAGTTTTGCATTGAAGTCTCCCATTAACACCGTATATTGGGGTTTGGAGGAATGCATGGCTCTAGAGATATCCTCATACATTTCCGCCACCTCCTCATCGGGGTGTGCCGAGGTTGGTGCGTAAACCTGTATGACCTTCAGCGAATACCGTTTGGTGATTCTGAGTATAAGGTACGCAACCCTCGTCGACACACTCCCGATCTTTACAACGTTGTTAACGAGAGACTTGTGGACGATAAATCCGACACCTCCTTGGGACAGATGGTCGCCCTCCCGGTGATAGAGCAAGTTGCCGGATTCGAGGATTACCGTGTCCTCCCCCTCTCTTCGGACTTCGGATATAATATGCCAGCGCAACTTGTCTATCTCTTCTTCCAGCTCCACGATCTTCTCGTCAGTCCTCAGGGTGCGTGCGTTGTACGTTGCCAGATCGAGTTGTCTAAGGTGGCAACCGAACCTCCACCGGAGATTCTTAGCACCCCCTTCCCCGCCGTTACCATGGTCGCCACCGTAGCCAGGAATAGCGAGGCCGCCGGGGACTGGGGGCCGTCTCTTTGTAACTTTATCCATTTGGGGGGTATTTGCCATAGTTGCCACGCTTGGCGAGCGGGTTGGCAACCGCAGTTTTTTTATTGTAATTTTGGCTATTATCAGGAAGATGCTGCTGCCCATCTCCTGCCTGTTTCCCTTTGTCGCCTTTTACGACACCCACGGGAGGATATGAGGTAGTGGATATTCTTGACCGCCACTACACGGCACTCAACTCAAAGTATCAATTAAAAATTAACAATGAATTGACAAAATCAAATCAAGAAGTCGCAGCGGTGTGTGAGATATATTTCATTGATATTATTATCTTGACAACAGAGTCATTGAATACTTCTCCAACTGTCGCCGAGTCATTAATACCTGTTTAAAAGAATTTAGATTTGAAAAAGTATTACCGCAAGATATTGTAAAATATTTCAAAACCATTGGTGTAAAGAAAACCGCAGATTTGTGGGGGATTTCCGTTACAGTTATTGCGTCCATAATAGATTTAATTGCACCTCATCGTGCTATTATTTTTAATCTTAAATTATATCGATTCTGGTGTGTTTTCTGATTTAATGATGATTTGATAAGTATAGTAAAGTAATACCTTTACCTTTAAATCTGGTAGTACATTGGACACCGCTAATTTTAGACCTATTTCTGTACTACCAACTCTCAGTAAAATTTTTGAAAAAATAATTTTGGCTGAATTGTTAATTTTTTTAAAACAAAGAAATTACTTCATAAAAACCAATTTAGTTGTACAAAGGGTCACTCGACGTCTGACGCCGGTGTTGAGCTTATGAAATATATTTTTAATGCCTGTGAGAATTCACAAGATGTCTTAGGTATTTTCTGTGATCTTTCCAAGGCTTTCGATTGTGTTCATCATGAGACATTAATCAGGAAACTACAATTATTTATGACGATGTAAATAATGCTCTATCGAAATTAGTACATTGGTTTAATGCTAACAATTTGCTCTTAAACGGCAATAAGACATAATGTATTAAATTTACAATACATAATGAAAAACATTCAAATACATAAATAAGGTTAAAACAGACAGATAGTTGTAAACCATTTTTTATTAGTCTGAAACTGTTAACACTTCCGTGCCTTTATATATATGAGATAGCCGTTTTTGTTACTACGCATATTTCTTTATTTGAGTGCCTACACAGTAAACGTAATAATCAAAAAATATGTTTTCCATCAAACAACACAGCCCAATTTAACAACAGTGTATTTTGTATGGCCCCTAGAATTTATAACCATTTACCATTACACATTTTGAGATGCTCCA